TTGGAGATAAGAGGCCTTCCTTTGCCCCCAGGGAAACCTCAGTCTACAGAGCTGGCCCTTTTTCTTCCCTCACAAGGTCTTTTGGGCCCTGCCTGGGTGCTGATGGGAAATCTTGAGGGATGCAAGTCTCTCCCTGTTTTTCCTAAACTAGGGCCAGCTGGAACTTCTGCGGAGACTCTTCACAGAGGCCCTTTATGAGGAAGCACTGAGCCAAGTGAGTGTGAGGAGGTTGGGTCCAGTGTCTTTCCCAGTCACTCCAGCTCTCTAGGAGCGACTGGGTCAGAATTTTCTACTGGACAGCCAAGCCAGAGTTGACTTGGTCTTTTGGAGTTGGGATGGAACTGACTCACAGACGACTTCCTGAACAGAGTTGTATCAGGAAGAAAAGCAAGTAGCTGTAACCTGAGTGCTCATCTCTCTCCCTACAGTGGTTCACTCCAGATGGATTCCGGTCTCTCTTTGCTCTTGTTGGGACCAATGGTCAAGGAATTGGGACCAGGTTAGGAGACACTGTTCCAGATATATTGGACTTGTCCCTCGTGGCTTGGGTGGGAAATTGACTGAGGAAGGTAGCCACAGGGTGGGGCAGGGTGCAATTTGATGGCCAGAGTGCTAGAGTGCACACAGTGATAGGGATCAGAAAGACTGAGCCGGTAGAGTGTGCTCCTTTTGGGAGCGTTCGTCTGATGGGGAAGATGGGGCCCCGACCCTGGAGAAAGGAATGGTTTTAACTTGCCTGGAGGTGGAGAGCCCTGTGAACTGGGCCTCCTACTCTCCAACATGGCTGCCTGGGACCCCCAGCTCCCTGAGCCAGTGGGTCCATGCCTGTGACGCTCTGGACCTGAAGCCTCTGGACCGCGAGCAGCTGGATGCCTTCATTGACCAGCTGTACAAGGACATCGAGGCAGGTGGGTGAGATGGAGACATACACCCCTCCCCAATCAGATCGTGGACAGTCTTCCTCCAGGGACCTCTGAGTTAATGGTGGGGGACATAAATCTGTATGCCTGTGGGAAACTTCAGATCTGTCCAAGGGATATGCAGATGAGAAATGGGCCCAAGATCCATGCAGAGGCTCGATGCTGGGGGTGGGGGAGTACTGGACAAATAAGAGTGCTATCGTTTATGGAAAAGCAAGGCTGGTGTCTCAGAGATGTAAGTTCATGTGAAATGGGATCAGGTGCATTAGAGTGGTAGAGTGGCACAACAGTGAGGCAGTGCCTTTCCTTGTAAACCTAGTTCCCTTTTCCCTATGAAATGAGTAGAATAACATCTGCATATTACTTCTTGCAGCAACTGGCGAGTTTCTTAACTGTGAAGGATCAGGCCTCTTTGTGCTTCAGAGCTGCTGTGAGTCCTGACACTGAAGAAGGGTGGCCTTGTGGTGACAGTTCATCTTTTCGGTTCGCCCCTTCTAGGCTGATGGGGTTGAGTCTGGGAGCAGGGTTAATGCTGAGCTTCCTTGGAGATTCCTCTGGTCATTTTTGGTCTATCAGTTTTTCATTCATTCATTCATTAGATTGCTGGTGCTTTAATATATATTTATATAAAAAAAACTTCCAGTGGGCCAGAACCTATGCTCTGGCAGGGCACTGAGCTCAAGGGAAGCATGAGCTGTGCACCACCACTGCCCTGTGAAATGTGGCAGGGAAGTGTCCTGAGAGCCTGGGAGGCCCTCAGAATCCTGGGAGGAAGGAGTTCAAGCTAGCAGGCAGTCCCTTTACTGCTGGGGAGGAGGAGAGTCCACTTAGACTATTGTCTGTTTTAGATCCCAGCCTCCTACCCTCTGGTTTCCTCACTGTAAATCCTCTTCCCAGGTTCCAGAGCCACTCTACACTCACAGACTAGTTCTGAGGGCCCAGCTCAGCTATTACCAGATGTCCAGTAGCAGACAAGACTGACTTAGTGGTCTGGCATAGGCAGCCCTTTCAAAGCCTTGTCCCTCCCTTTGTGAGACACTGGGAACACAACTAAGAATCAAGGTGACCAGTGAGGAGGAAAGTGGGGGCAGGTGGAAGAGGGAGCGATATGGGCATGCATTTGTGCCTGTGCTGTATGGTCTTCAGGAAAGAGCACTGAATGGGGAGTCAGGAAACTTGAGTTCCAGGACCTGCACAGCCTAGCAGGGATCAGAAAACAAGGAAGGATGGGACCTAGTGCTCTACAGAGTTGAGGCTATTTATTTTCATTAGCAATCCTTATTACGTGCCTCTCATGACCCAGGCAACCACAGCTGTGTCCCCAACGCAGAGACCTCCTTCCCAGAAAACAACTTCCTTTTGCATGTCACCGCCCTGGAGGATATTAAGCCAGGAGAGGTGAGGGGGCCGGGACCTCTGGGGAGCATGGGGGGGTGGCAGTCGGCCTTGCAAGTTCTCTCCAGAGACTGGGAGCAGCAGTGGCTAGGGCCCCAACTTCAAGCTGTTGAGTTGAATCTCCCCCATGCCCAGGGTATGAGTTTTTCTGCCCATGGATGTGCTCTAACCTCACCCCAATTCAAAAAAATAGCTCCAGAAAGCCTCAGAGCAGTGTTTGAGAGACAGCTGTGTGCCAGGTTCTTGTCCCCAGCCTTGTGATGAACAAATCTGCAGCTTCTAAGAAAGCAGGAGATGGTTCTTTGTGGGTTGGGCTTTGGGGAGCTAGTGTGGGTTTGGGGTCCTGGTTGTTAGCACAGCACACAGTCTGATTAAATCTTCCAGGACAAATAGCATCTCACCAAGTTAACCTCTGAACCCAGCCATTGACCTTGGCCCTTAATGCCTTTAACCATGGCCTGAGGCTAACTGTAGTCCCCTCTCTGCCTCATATGTAGGTTGTTAGAGCCTCATAGTGGCCTGCTTGCTGAGGGGCATCTCTTTCCCTTGGGGATGGGGCAGAAGTTGGGGATAGGGTAGTGGTTGGGGAGTCCCTAATCCCATCTAATAGCACATATTTTTAGACCCCACTTCTCTGCCCTTCAGGAAATCTGTATCAGCTACTTAGACTGCTGTCAGCGGGAGCGCAGCCGCCACAGCCGCCACAAGATCCTCAGGTGCCAGGAGGGGACATGGTGGGAAGCTGGGCTTGGGACCTCTATCCCAGTGGCTGCCTGACTTTTCACCCTCACCATCCCCCCATCTCCTGCAGGGAGAACTATCTGTTTGTCTGTTCCTGCCCCAAATGCCTGGCAGAAGCTGATGAACCCAATGTGACCTCAGAAGAGGAGGATGAAGAGGAGGAGGAAGGAGAGGCAGAAGATGCAGAGCTGGGGGATGAGATGACTGATGTGTGATGTCACCCTGCCTGGAAGGGGCCCTACCCCAGACTCTGCCAGAAAAGGGGGCCTTCCCCCAGAGGAGGCTTGGAAGGAACTCCTCACTCCCATTGCCTGCTTCCCCCCATTCCAGCTGTTTCTGCCAAAGGGTAGGATAGAGGCTGGACCCTAGGCCCTCCACTCCAGACCAGACCTCATGCCCTGGACACTGCTGCTGAGTGGCTCAGGTTCTGTGCTGTCACTGAGCCTTTCAGAATTGGCCTCCCCCTGAAGTACTCCACTCCAGAGTGAGCAGCTGGAACCAGGGTCAGCTTGGCCCCATGGCTGCGCCTTCCCATCCATCCAAGGCTTCATTCCTGTTTACTTGCTATGGAGGGAGTGACAAAGTGGCAATCTGAGAACAGTCTTACTTTATTGAAGAAGAGGGGGTGCATTGCCCTCACCTTCCCCACTGCCCATCGTAGCTGATAAGGCAACTATGAGTACTACTGGCACAGCTGAGTGAGGCACGAAGGAGGAACTGGGCCTGCAGAACACTTTCCCTAAGGCTCTCGGCCGGGGAATACTGAACCAGGGGGAATTACCTCCCTCTCCCTGCCTCCTCACTCCCATCACTTGGTCATTTGGGGGAATGGAGACTAACCCCTTCCCTAAACTCCAGAATCTCTGTATCTTGTGCCTTGCCTCTCAGGCCCTGGCACAGTGGCTGGCCCCATGGGGTACGGAAAAGGCCTCTGTCTCCCTCAGGAGGAGCATGTGGGGGGATCATCACCCCTGCCTCACACCACTACCCATTGAGAACTCTAGCAGCATCGCTGAGGCCTGGAGGGTGACAGGCCTGTGCTCCTTAGAATGCTCTAAATGCTTTTCTGGAACCAGTTGAATATGGGTCAGTGAGGGGCTCTCCTGGCCTCAGTCTCCATCTTTAGGGTCTCTACAGAGGAACACTGAAGTTTTCCAGAAACCTGGAAGAGCTGGGTTAGATACTCAGAGATTAGCCCTATATCACCTGTCCCCAAATTAGCACTAGCCCTCTGTCTTGGGTTGAGTGCTATGGGAATTATAACCCATCACTCGCAATTCCTTTCTGCCTACCTTCCCTAAGGGGTCTTCCACATCCCCCTGTTAAGGGATCCCAGGAAGGCAAGTGCCTGCCCACAGGCCCTTCCATGGATTATGAGCCAGGTGGAGCCTGCCTGCCTGGCCTATTGGGTTCTTGCTCCTTCAAAGCAGCCGGCATCCCCTCCCACTCCCACCTGCCCACTGTTCTCAATAAAATGTGAGTGGTGACAATCCTCTGAAGAAATGCTTGGTGGAGAATGACTTGACAAGCTGCTGGAGCATGCAGCAGTCATGTGGGTGGTGAAAAGGCTTATAGGACAGACCAGATAATGGCAGGAGGTGGGAGCTCTAGCTCCCCAGTTTGGGCTCATCTCTGGTCTTGTCTACACTCCACTCTGCTAGTGTTCTAAAGCCCCAGAGCAAGGATCTTCTGTGGTCAAGCGTGGATCCCCAGCACGAGGCAGCAAAGTGAACCTTCTCCCCAGAGGACTATGGCTCCTAAGATCCTAAGCAGGAGGCTGTGTTGGGATTCAAGATTAGCAGTCTGAGCAGTGATCCTAAGGACCTTGGACAAGTCATTTGTCCTCTCTGGGCCTCAATTTCCTCCCCTCAACACAAGGACATGGGGCCAGATGAATAAGTTTGAAGGCCTCTCCCACCCATGTGCTCTTATTGTAGGACACAGTTGCAACCCTGAGGCTTTATTGCTAAAAAGTCAGTGAGGAATTATGTCCTCAAACACCAGTTCCTTATACCACCCCAGCAACTGCTATGAGGGACACTGAGACCCTGGGTGGGGGAGACTGGAGCCAGGTGGGATGTGAGCCAGGTCACAGATGGCTCTCAGGCCACCTGCCTTTAGCCCCTTTTGTTCCAGATTCTAGCCAAGAAGCCCTGGGGCATGGGTCTTGCATCGTCCCATACCATGAGACACCCTTGGGGGCCCTGGGGAACAGAAAACAGTTGCATGGCTTCCCTTAGCCTAGCTAAGGCCCAGGCCTTCTTCCTCTACCTGGTTCCACCTGTCCCCAAGTGGTATCTCCAAGTCCCAAACAGCAGAATTCCTGGATTTCCCCTTCCCAGCCTAGAGTTGTTTATGGCTGGAAGATGGGACCAATTCTTCTACCAAAAGGTCCAGGGCGGTTGCAGCAGCTCAAAGGTAGGGATGCTGGTGACATTGACTGGGATGGAAATGATGGCCCATGGCAGCCCATGCTGTTCCAGGGAGCGGCGGATCATGTAGCTAGGAGGGTATGAAGAGAGGTGGTGATGGTCACTTTCTTAGCACCTCATCATAACCCACTGTCCTCATCACTCTGGGAGTTCCAAAGCCCAAGGACTTTTTGGCCCTCCAATTGGGGTACCCCAAGATGCAACTTGTGGGAAGGGACTGGTGATTGCCCTTGACCCCCCTCCCCAAGTCATGGCACCCAGCCTGATGCTGACATAGCCAGAAACAAGGAGTCCTCACCCATCTCGACCGAGCAGGAAGAGGGCAGGGATATCAGCCGTGCGCTGGGTACTGTCCTGGATCATTTCCACGTAGAAGCTGTCGTTGTCCACTGCGTTGTCAGAGATGATCACTGCCCGCCCACCGTGCTCCTGCACCACCCGGGTCTTGGAGAGGAAGGAGCAGCCCCTGGAAGAGGTGATGATGACATCAAAGGAAAGGCAGGGTCTTAGTTACCCCTCCCCCAAGCCGTCACCCTAGGAGGATGAAAGGACCATGGATAATTTTTCATAAAGTCTCATAAATAAAGGGCCCAAAGGCATGGATAATCTTAAAGACTTAAAATGATGAGTTAAAAAACTATTTCAAAGGACCACCACCACTGGTCTTAGGCTCTACCCTATTCCTGCCCTCCCCTTGTGCAAGTGCCTGTCCACTCCTCACCCCCTCTCCACCAGAGCAATCTGGTCCTGGATGAAGAAACCGTTGCTGAGTTCTCCACAGGCCTCTGAAGGTTCCGCAGGGACAAGGTGAATCTGCTCATACCGTGTGTGCTGAAAGACATTTATACAGGTCAGAATGAGGAACACACACTGGGCTGAAATGCCATCCTATCAGCTCTTGACAAGGTGTAAAGGAAAGGTATGGAGTGGTTTCTGTGTGCTGGGCACTTGATTCCCACAAAGGCTTACCTACTTGTCCTACCCCTTTCCATGAGATAGGCAGGGGAGTTGGTATGGACCCAGAGAAAGGAAGTAACTTGCCTTAAATCACATCATTCAGAGGTGCAACTGGCAGGGCTGTTGGTTTTTCACTATTTCATTTTCCTGAAGACAGCTGGTACCTCCATGGTGCTGAGGTCTATATTATGCCCAAGGAAGTAACTGGAATCCCTTCTTGCACTGCAGCCCCTGGAGAGCAGAGCTGGATTCTGCTCCCTTCCCTGTCCCAGCACTCAGGTATTGATTGAAGGGATAAGAGGGGTCACCTCAGCTTAATGGGGAGAAGATGGCGACAGGATCAGAGAAGGGGTCCCTCTCTGAACTTACAAAGATACCACCAAAGTCCTTTGCAGGTGTAGCTGTGAAAATGTATCGAATGTCTCCAGGACTCAGCACTTGGAAGTACAAATAATCATGGATGCGTAAGCCTGAAAAATAAAGAGTACAGATAAGAAGCCTCCATGGACCCCGTGTCTTCAACTAGGCTATCTATAGTCTGGGCCCAAGGGCCCAGCGTCAGCCAAGTGGTTCCTCCAGGTGGGTGGGATAGAGAGAGAGTCCCTGCCCTGAGGAGGATAGAGTTGATGCACAGTCACTCCTGAGATTTATAGCCGCTGCTGCTGCTGCTACTGACAAAGGTGAGCCAGGAAGACTGAGAGCTCTAGTGTTCTCTCTGAGGATTAATCTATCTTTACTCTGAAGTGGACCTGAGTTTCAAGGTGGAGATGTGGTAGTCTGGGTACAAACAATCCTCACTAAAACTTAAAAGTTGACTTTCTGGTCCCACTGCCATCCTTCTAGTCCACCACTATCATATCTTGTCCTGACTGGTCTACTTCATTCTTGCTCTCTAAAGACCATTCCCCAAACAACAGCCAAGGATCTTCTTAAAACATCTTAGAGCAAATACGATCATGTCACCACTGCCATGGCTTTGTTACCCATCAACAGCTTCCCTTTGCACTTAAAATCTAAACTCTTAACTATGGCCTGCAAGGCCCTGCTCTATCTGGCCCTTGGCTGCTACTCCAACCTCATCTCCTTCCTCAGTTCAAGCTACACTGGACTCCTTTCAGTTTCTTCACTTCTCTGAGTCTTCTTGCAAACTATTCTCTCTCTCTGGGAGGCTTTCTACCCTCACCTCACCCCATCCCTACCTCTTTACCTGGCTCACTCCTATTCATCCGTTAGGTCATAGCTTAAATGTCATTTTCTCAGAGAAACCTGCCCAATCACTGCCCTCCCTTTATGCCCATTCAAAATGTACTTTTCATATATGTATTTTTAAATCCTCACCCGAGGATATTTTTTCCATTGTTCTTCAGAGAGAGTGGAAGAAAGTGAAAGGGAAAGAGGGAGAAACATCGATGTGAGAGAGACACATCGATTGGCTGCCCCCCGCACTCATCTGAACTGGGCTCACCAGGGCCGGGGATCGAGCCTGCAACCAAGGTATGTGTCTTTGGCTGGAATTGAACCTGGGACCCTTCAGTCCACGGGCTTATGCTCCAGCCATTGAGCCAAAATGAGTAGGGCTTAAAAGGTACTTTTTCTCCATTGACACTTTCAACATAATTTGTAATTATAGAGTATTCATAATTTTTTGTTTAATGTCTGTAGGGCAAGGACCATAAGTTTGTAGCTTCGTTCAATGCTGTATCCACATTACCTAACATAGTGGCTAGCATATAGTGAGTGCACAATAAAGGCTGTTGAATGAATAACTATTTCCAGCTTCACTGCACTGAGGAAGAGAATTGCCAGAACCAGATTTTTCTGGGGTGTAGGAACTTCTCTTCAGCACCAAAGTGTAATGTTTCACCTAGACTTGAGTCTCTGGTTTCCTTAGTCCACAGAGACACAGGAATGTGGAAGGGTGAGCGACCAAGAGAAGGAACAAGGGGCTACTAGAGATCCTACATGCTGGTGATATGTATGTGAACATATATAGGAACACACATTCCTACATGTGGGCTCACATACAAGCACAGCCGTACACAGATAACCTGTTTGCAACGTGAGCACAGATACACATAGAGTCATACACATATGTATACCATGCTTAATTTACACAGATCAGCTGATGCAAAGGCCAGGCAAAGATGTGTGTGTATGCGTGTGTGAGTTTAGTGCTAATCCACCAAACCACTACTGTGTGCCAGGGTTAGAACTGATAAGGCTTTAGTTGTGCTTGTCTACTGCCCAAATCATAGTCACCAGGTAGAGCTCCACTGCCTTGGCACTGGGCTATGCAACCTTTTATCCTGGGGGTGAGGACTTGCCATCAGATACAGATACACTCCCAGGAAGCCTTACTGGATTAGCACTAAACTCACACACGCATACACACACATCTTTGCCTGGCTTTTCCATCAGCTGATCTGTGTAAATTAAGCGTGGTATACATATGTGTATGACTCTGTGTGTCTGTGCTCACGTTGCAAACAGGTTATCTGTGTACGGCTGTGCTTGTATGTGAGCCCACGTGTAGGAATGTGTGTTCCTATATATGTTCACATACATATCACCAGCATGTAGGATCTCTAGCGGCCCCTTCTTCCTTCTCTTGGTCGCTCCCTCAGCCACCTGGGTCGGCGTTAGTGGGAGTAAGGTAGATTCTTGCTCAGACGTAGGGAGATGAGGCTCAGAGCCTAGCCTCCGGCCGCGCCCAGCTCAAGTTCCTAAGGACAAACACCCACCCACTCCAGCCGCCCGAATTCGCCGGGTCCCCAAGGTGACCCGTGGCCCCCGGCCCGAGCCGCGCTCATGCAGGATTGCCCTCCCAGCAGTACAGCCCCGCCCATTGCCGCTCACCGTGGGCTGCGACGCACGTGGGGAGCCAGAGCACGAGACAACACCAGCCCGCGGCGCCGAGGACCATCTCCAGGACCCGGCCCGGCGCGGAGCTTCCTTCAGCCTCCCCGCGGCGCGTTGCTCGCCGGACTTCAGCCTGACAGCTGCTCCGGCCTCCCGCCCCCCACACCCGCTCTCGCCGCTGGTTGGCGAATGGGAACGAGGACCACCGCTGATTGGCTCTGACGCCTGCTCATGTAGCCATATTTTCCGCCTCTGCGCCTTAGCCTACTTCCTACTGGTCAAGAGAAGTGGGGCCAAGGGCTGATTGGTCTAAACTCTTAAAAGCAACTGCAGGCCCCACCTCAGCCCCTCCCCAGCATTTCTCAATTTGGATTGGACTCTGCCCAACCTCGCAGGCTGGTGGGTGGGTTGGCAGGGCATGACCAAGAACTAGAGGTGGTCTTTTCAGCACTCGATTCAGCCGCGGAAAGTCCCGGTCATCAGCTCTTGCGGCCTCGGCGGGATTCTCCCTGTGGCCGCCTCGCACGGCAATGATTTGCCTTCTTCCAGCTTCCATTTCCTTCTTCCCAACCCCTCCTAGGAAAGGTATTCCTCTAGCGCCCAGGTCATCTCCGGCGACCCTCGTTCACCTCGTTCCCTGCCCAGTCCACCAGTGCTAGCGCGGTCCCAATGGTAGGCGTTGGGGACGCGGCTAGATGCTGCCAGCCCTCAAGGAAGCTCTGGCCAGTGCAGCGCCAGAAAGCGGGCACTGGGGCCAGGTGTCCGCCACACCTTCTCCACCACTTACTGTGCAACTGTGACCATGGACACCTTTCCTAAGCTCTCAGATTCAGTTTCATCTGTAAAATGTACGTTAGCGGTACCAGTACAACAGGGTTGTGAGAATTCAATGAGATAACTCATGTTAAGAGCTTATTTAGCATAAGCTTGCCCTGCAGAGTTCAATAAATGTTTGCATGTATTTCATTCCTTGGTCTGCCGTCCGGGGAATGGAGAGGGGGTGGAATTAAGGAAAGTAGGTGTCGCGGGCTAAACAAGGATCCTTCACGCTCAGAAAAAAAATTTGGCGAATATTCCATAACCGAAGCTTCTCGCCAGATAGCCCTCCGAGGCTCCGCCTCTGGCCCTTCTAGCCACAACGACTCTATGGTTGCGAACCATAGAGTAACGGAAGTGGCCCGTCCCCTTCCTCTCCCGGTCCAACGCTGGTCGAATCTTCTGGGGACTTCTCTGGCGCGGGGAATTGTGGGGTAGCTGGGCGGCCCGGACGCGGAGCTTAGAAGAGGAGTAGCGGGCCGCGGAATAGTCTTCCAAAATGATGGTGAGTGTCGTCTCGCGCATCCATCGCCATCCGCCGTCATCTGCTGCCATCTGGCCGGGGGCTGGCGCCGCCTGGCCTGAACCCCTCGCGTAGGGCTGTCCTTTGCCTACTGATTATGTCTTCGCCCGGATCCCCTGTCTGCGGGCGACCCCGGCCCGCCGTGGCCTGGCTGGGCCCAGGCACGGAGCAGGGTCCCTTGGCGAGGGTTATGTGGGACTTGAGGGGAGGCTGTGGTCGGGCTGGCTGGGGGCCACAAGTCCCAGGGTGCTCCGGGGCAGCTGACCCGCGTCGGGAACCCGGTTTTTGGAGCCCCCCAAAATCATGACCTATGTTGAAGTACTGTGGATTAAGTGTGCATAAGCAATCGGTTGCCAGACTTGGAAGATCTTGGCTCCCATGGGAAATGCGAATGTGAAGAAATGTGCTTCCTAGAATGGGTAGAGCGCAAGGTCTCAACTAGGGTTTCGTAGTGCCCCACCCGCCTGTTGTTGCATAAATGGCAACAGACCTCTCTGTTCATGCTTTAATCCATTCATTATTCACTCGTTCATTCATTAAGCAAACACCTGTTTACTGCCTAGTGAATTACCATGCCCCGCTGGTTGTTGGGGTGCAAACTCCTCAGCCAGGGAAATGGGCAGGGCAGACGGCGATACTGCATCAGAGGTGAGAAGACCGGGGCTCTGATGCCAACCCTGTCTGCCCCTCTGGATTTGACATTAGACCAGACTTTTCTAGTTGGCCACCTGACTCTGGGTCTCATTTTCTTAAATGAGGGGAGTTGGTGAATCCTGGAGGCTCCCTGTATACAGCCCACCCCGTTTTCACACATGGCATCCCTTTCCTCCATCTCAGCTCCAGGTATACCTTTCATGGGTCCTAATCCTCGGTGGTATCTCTTGAATTGCTGTTGAACAAGACCGGCCAGCTTTTAAGGCGGTGGTGGTTTTGGTTTTTTGTGTGGATTTTCTTTGTTTTGCTTTTTTAAATTTTATTTTTCAATTACAGTTTACATTCAGTATTGTTTTGTGTTAGTTTAAGGTGTACAGCATAGGGGTTAAACAGTCATACTTTACAAAGTGTTCCATTTCCATTACCCACCTGGCACTAAGGAGATGTTTGAGCCAGAACCATGACTGAGACACTGCTTTCTGTGCACTTGGCAGCTCGCTCATTCATGTTGGCCTATCAGTCCGAATCAGTTCTCTGTTTTGTTTTTTTCCTGCTTCCTGCAGTTTCTCCCTGTCTTGTTAGATGTCAAACTGACACCTAGGAGGTGTTCATTCTGCTACCAAATGCCCTATTAATCCATCTTGTACCCAAGATAGAAGGAAGCTAGCATTAATCTGTATGCCCTCTCCCCTTTATACCTCCAGTACTGCCCTTTTTCAGTCCATCTTCAGCATTACCTATTCCTGAAGTCATCCTCATCTGTGTTGAGGCAGCATAACAGGACACTTGAGAGTAAGGGCTCTGGAGCCATGCTGAATGCCTAGGTTTGTAACTCAGGTGCCGATTACTAGGTGTGTGACTTTGAGTGCTTTAAATTTCTGGTCCCCAGTCTGTTAGAGGGGATTAAATTAGCATATAAAGTGTCCAGTATGTAGTAAGAACTCAGCAAATGTTAGCTATTCTGCTAAGTGGTTGCTTGCTTCCTTTCCTCTCTGTAATCCATCTTCCTGCCAAGGCAACCATGAGAGTTTTGGTTGGCATTCACAGAACTGGGGATCAAAACCAAGGTTCTGTCTGGTGATAAAACCCTTCACCAAGGGGCTCCAGATCACCACACTTGGATTTTTCCTGAACTGATCCCTGCTCTCCTTCCCTGCTGTATTGGCTGTTTATGTGAATATGAAACTTCTGTCACCAAAAATCCTCCTTGCTGTCATCAAATTAGTCCTTGATATTCTAGAAGCCTTCTGTGATTGGAAGATTGGTAAAAGGGCCCCTGAATCTTAGCCCTGTGACTTTGGTACATCTTGTATAGAATGTATGTACTTGCCTTTGGTGTTGAGCACTGTAAACGTAGGGATATAAATAACTTGTGGTTCGCAGAATATCATGCCTAATAATGCCGAGTAAAATTTTTTAAGGAGGATAAACAGGAAGATCATTAAGCTGAAATTCCCAAGCCTTCCATGATACCCTTGGCAAATTACTGGATTTTATAATCGTTTCTCTACTTGAGTAAAAATGAGTGAGATTAAAAAGTAACTTGGGGACAGCCCTGGCTGGGTGGCTCAGTTGATTGGAGCATCATCCCATACATCAAAAGACTGCGGATTAGATTCCCAGTCAGGGCAAATACGGGAGGCACCCGATCAGTGTTTCTCTTTCACATCGATGTTTCTCTCTCTCTCTCCTGAATTAAAACAAATATTATTTTAAAATAATAACTTGGAGACAGAAGCTGTGCTTTCCCCAACAGTGCCTGCCCCTGGGGAACTGATAGAGGAGGACCCATCCTGCTTAACCTGGCTTGGCTCAATCTAGCTCTGCTTCCTTTTCCTCCCCATAGGATCTCTACCCAGCCTGCCATTTCTCTAGGACTTACAAAGCATAGGGAACTTGGGGACAATCTGGTCAGCTACTTCCTAGCTCTTCTTGCTTTGTACTTAAGAATTCTCAGTGAATGCAATGTCACCATACTGCAAATACTTTTCCAAAGATAAGTCAAGAAGCCAGTATATCTCACTTCATCGCTTATATTAAGCACTTTTGAGTACATATATTTAACAGTTGAATTTTCAGCACCAAACGCTGCTGAATATTGCTTCATATGTTGCCAAATCTAGGCACTCTACAAATTGAGATTATTAGAGTCTTTACCTTGGGGAAGCCCATACTTTAAGAAAGAATGGCAGTATAAAAGCCATGTGCAAGAGGAAGCAAAGAGAGTTATGGGCTCCCCTGTTCAGGATGCTCCTGTTAGCTGCTGTTGAGAAAACCTCCTGGAAGAACTGGAGCTGTGAAGAGTTGCTGGCCTGACGTTAAGAAAATAGTGTCATTAGAAGTGGCAGGTGGCTCTTATAGATGGGGTACAATTTGGAGGTGGAGGTGAGAAAAGGTCCATGAAAGTATTGAACAAGTTAGCCTGATGGAGGGATAGAGAATCTGTTAAAGGCAATAGGAAGGGATTTGAGACTCAAGTTGGTTTTTTATTTAAAGTTAAGACTTCATCTGAGGCAGAGGTAGACCAGAGAAGACTTGAGACTGCCATGAGGAATGATTTAGCGGGGATTGAGAGAAGGTGGGCCTTTTAGGAGACACGTCTTTCCTTACAGGAGGTGCAAGGGCCCAAAAGAATGCTGAGAATATAAGATGCCATTTCTTGCAGTGAGACTTGGGACACTGCCATGAAAAGGAATTTTCCCTCCAGCCCGTGCCTGGTCCCAGATTTAGGGGGTTATCTAATAAGCATTCTTTTTTTAAAAAACAAAACAGGAGTAATGGATGATAAGCTTATTAGAAAAAGGTTCAAACAAAACAGCAAATATACAGCTTAAAGTGTCAAAACGCTCTTTACTGACACTAACTCGGTAGAGTTTATTGGGCATCTTTCCAGCCCCTTTTTATGCATTTACACTTTATATCTTACCTCTTCTTAACTATTTCCTAGTGACTTTTTTTTTTTTAATGTAAATCAAACTATGCCAGTGCTCTGCTGTGGGAGTAAAATTTAAACTTAACACAGTCTACAAGTGAGTATGTGGCCTGTTTCCTCCTGCCTCGTCAGCCTTGTTCCAGTCTTCTGCCTATTCACTACCCTCCAGCTGCACTTCCCAAAGGAATTGAACTTTTTAAGGAA